CCAGTGTCAGTACTGTACATATTATAAGGAAAGTGCATATTGACAGAGATGAATATAGAAAGGGTAGAAAAAGTTTTGATTCTTAACAGGTCTATGTTATATCAGATCTCATAGTCTTCTAAATAGTATTTTTTAAAAATAGTATTTATTTGCTTGACTTAGAATCTTCAGGATTCCCTTAGTTGTGGGGAGTTCCCTTAGTTGTGGGGAGATTTATAAAAACTATTGTCTGTTATGATACAAGAAATTTTGGATCACAGTTTTTAAGCATTTAATTTTCGGGTGGGGACGGGGGAATCAAATGCAGGACCTTGTACTTGTGAGGCAGGTGAGGGGACCACTGAGCTAAATCCGTGGCCCAAGCATTTAATTTCTTGTTATGAGTTTTGACTGTCATCTCTGCTCACTCAAAAATGAACATTCATGTGGCCAATTACTAAAGCATATTAATTTTTTGTCTATAGTGAAATCATCATATTTCTCAGGTCATCTGTCTGCTGCCTAATATGGAAAAATCACAATGGAGAAGGCTGAGTAGTAGTGTGATTGAATTCTTCCTAACTTAAAAGTTAGATGCCTATGAGAAGTAAAGGATGTAAGATAGCTTCAAAGATCTACCAATCTACCTAGGTAGGAACCACTGTGGGTCAACAATTGTTTTTGCACATGCACTTCTATGCTTCATCTTAAGGCAATCCCAGAAGATGTACTGAACCCTGCTGGGGCAGCACCTAGAAAGACAATTAATCTAGTACCCCCTGCCCCAAATCAACTTACATGTTCCACAAGATCCTAATGACTAAATTCTTAGAGATGAAGTATTTAATGGCCTAGGATGGTGGTCTATGGTTGACTCTGATTATTCACGACCTGATTGGACAGTCCTAAGCAGACATGAATCCATACCAAAATCTCACTGATTCTCAAATTTCTCATTTTATACCATAAGAATATACAAACACATGCCAAGAACCAGAGTAGGAAGTAGTTGACAAACAATGACCCATCTTCTGATCACTCACATTCAGCATAGAAATACTGTGAAGAATTTCTGAACCACTGCCCCATGAAAATTTTGGCCCAAGATTTCATCTTGTTTCAATATGTGGAAGTCAAGACTAAAAGACTAATGATACCAACCAGGCTGCTTTCCTGCCTCTTCCAAATTGGAATTCCCATCTCGATCTGAAACAGCTGCTGGGAGGAACATGCTGCTGGGCATCACCATCTCAGGGGTGGTCACCTGAGGAGCAAGAGGGAAAGAGACAAGGAGAGTCAAACGGCGAGGAAAGACACAAAACAGGAAGGGCTTAAAAATTATTTAATAAGCAAAATTAGCCTTCACCAGTGTAAAGCTGGAGGTGTCACTTTTCATAGCTCATTGAAGATTTATGTTTATTAGACAAAGCTCACATCAGTCAGAAGTGTTTCTACGGTTACATTCTGGACATAATTAGCAGTGCACACTTGAAGAATAATCTTATTATTAATATTTTTCCTTTATGCAGAATTTTGACTTTGATCACTGACAATGTTTTGTCATGGGCTGTGAAACTTCTTGTGCAACCAATTAGGTAGATAAGTTGAAAGGCCCACCTTAAGCTGCTGAAAACATAATAAGGGCCCTAATTAAATCATACCTAGTAAAGTACACTGTAATCTTGAAGCAAGGAGCATTGTAGTACTGTTTTCAAAATGTATTCATGCAAGAAGAGGAGGGGAGTAAGAGTGAAGGAAAGGGTAAGGAGGAGAGAAGAACAAAGGGGAGGCTAAGGACATGCAGACACACTGGCAGAAACAGCATTCTGTAACCCTTTACAAGCTGATATCAAGCCCAAACAAGTATTTTCTGTGAATCCCTTAAGCCAAGATTTCTTTTGGTATCTCTGCCTGTGGCATATGTACATCATAGGGGAACATCTGCCTAGTGTCCAGCCATCAAAGGTGGCCTGCACAGCATTCAATATTGGGGCAGCCCCACTTTGACCACAACCATTATTCTATAATCAATTATTCCATAATTGCCCTATTTGGATAGCTACAATTTCAGATCTGAGACTCAGACTTTTCTCTAGGCTTCCCTGTTGCATGGCCAGAAACCAGTTACCATTTTCCCTTTGTTAAAGTGATAAGTAGCCTTCGATATCTAACATATGGATGAATGGTTCTTTTTTTTTTTTTTTGCTTAAGGTGCAATGTCAGCCAGGTATGGTAGTGCACACCTGTAATCCCAGCACTGAGGGAGGCTAGGGCAAGAAGATGGAAAGTTCAAGTTCCACTTGGGCAATTTAGACCCAGTCTCAAAAAGGAATAGTGATGAGGCTATGGGGATTTAGCTCAGTGGTTTCCGTGCCTGCCTCGCAAACACACAAGGGCCCAAGTTTGATCCCTGGTACCAAAAAAAAAAAAGAAAGAAAAAGCAATATTCCTTTGTCTGCTGTGGGTGGGAAGGTTAGGTACCAATGATAGTCACAAATTAGAAATTGTCTCCAATTTGATGACACTTTGAAAAATGGACTAACCTAGAGGCTACTAGGATAGAAGCTGCAGTCACCACTAACTTTTCTACATGGTACCAGCCCCTCCTGGAGCCTTTATTTTCCCACATGTGACTTCACTTCAATAACATCTTCAGTTTGTTGCAAAAACTGGAAAAATTAAATGTTTTTTAAAATTACTGCTAATTTTTAATGGTTTGAAGAACCTGGCTTTCCTCCAAATAGTCTTGAAAAACATGGATCACCAGTAACGGGTACAACAATTAGAGGAAACCCAGATAATTGTAAAAATCGACATTAAAAAGTGACTCCTGATTCACACTTAGGGGCAGAATTTTTTTTCATCAGCTCAGATGCCAATAGGTAGAAAAAGTAAGCAACAGGCTCTATAGAGAAGGGTTGTGAGAAGCCGCGTGTCTATGGAGAGCAGGTGTGTGGCAGGTGAATGTGAGTGACAGGGCATCCCGGCTCCCACAGACATCTGCACCCTCACACAAAGCTCCCTGGCAGCTGGTTAGGACTAGCTGCTGATGAATCGTTAGGAATGAAGTGGAGATTGCCAAACTCATTCCATCTATTTTCTTTTTAATAGAAAGCATTTCTGACCAGTGTGGTTGGGGAGTCCAGCGGGAATCCACGAAGTGAAAGGTCACCGATTAATTTATAGTCTTCAGCCAAGGGGGAGCATGAGGTTGGGGGTAAGAGGGGGAGAAAGGGAAAGGAAAAAAGACTCCCCCCCCCAACCTCCTTTCTTGGTTGTAGCTGCAGGATCAGTCCTTTCCTGAGATCTTTAGGAATTATGAAAAATGAATCATGAGAAATAAAAAAGCCCTACAGAGTAAAAAAGAATAAAATTATCTAACACCTCAGCTGCACATCATTATAGAAAACTGTGGGCTTTTTATAAGCATTACAGTAAGGCAGACATCCCCTCTAACAGACTCAGTACGACGGATCAGTAATTGTTTTCATACACTTTAATTAGAAAAACTCAGATGGCTATGAATAATAATGGAAAAGAGAGACTTTTGCACTTGAAAGGTTGAAGTCAATCAAGTGTGAATGACGGCAAAAAAGGGAAAAAAAAAAGACACCAATTCATCAGCCCTCTGTTGTCTCGCTGCGACTTTAATCATAATTCCTGATTGGGATTCAAGAAGGCAGTAAGCAGCGGTTCTTTGTCTGCCTTCACCTTCCATCAATTAACTCTTCCCGAAATATAATCATCAACCTCACATGCTCCTCTGCATCTTAATCTGGGCTCCAAACCTGGAAGTCTTGCCCCATATGTGTTTAAGTAACTACTTTTATCTACTGCCTCTTCTCATCTATAGTACACCCAACCTCTCACTGGAAAAACAGAAAAAAAAAAAAAAAAAAA